CTTAAGCCAAGTACTTCCACCTACATTTTAATTGAAACTACAAAATTGAGATGAAAGCTGCTCAGCTTTGACACATCAACTAGCATAAAGCTGTATTTTTAAGTAAATGTTAGCAGCCCAACGAAAAACATCCTATGGGGAGAGGCATGAAAGAAATCATGGCCAGGCCCCAAAATGCAATAACCACACATCAACCATTTATGGTCATCAAGTAATCAACACAAACTCCAGAAATAATTAAAACACCTTTAAGTTTTCCCTTTCTTTCACATTTCAGTAAAAAACATTATATGCCCATCAGAACTATTATCTAACTCCTCATATAAAAATAAGGTTTGAATCTGGTGAGGTTCTAAATCGATATAAATAGGAAATGCAATACACATAGATAATACGTACCCATATATCCAATGAAGCACAAATGCATACGTTTGCTCTCATAGCAGCAAGCAACTCAAACGCACCCATATATGCAGGTATTTATGCATATACAAAGTCAGCATCAAATACATTGAGTATATTAAAGAGTACATAGTTATACCTTATCTTTGTAGATCTGTTTAAGCTGAGCAACACCATCAAAACCTTTCTCTACCAGCTTCCTCAAATTCCTCGGCCCCACTCCAGGTATTGCCAGCAAATCCGTGGCCCCAACTACCATCCCGCCTCCAACTCCGCCACAATCCTCTGCCTTCTCTGTACTCTCACTTGACTCTACTCCACACTTCTTCCGTTCTCCAAATTATCCACTCCCTTAGCCTCCGTGACCGCAAACTCACCGCCCTCCTCCGAGTTCCCGGCCAACGTCCTAAACCACAGAGCACGCGACCCACTCTTGTTACTATTCTTACTCTACTTCAACAAAACCCAAGCTCTCGATGGAACTGCACTACTCCCCCCTTTAATACTACTACTTTCATTTTCACTGGCACACCTGCGCATACGACAATTGTCGGCCAGTTTCATAAACTTGAGGTTCTTGGCCGCTACGGTGGATATGGGTTTTTCAGGAGAGTGGTAGTGGGGTTGGCGGAGGGAAGCAGCGGCGGCAGATGAATGCATTTTAACACTGTTTCAGGTGTTGTAAAACCCTTGAGATAGAAAGCAGGGTGGAAAGAGGGAAGACCAGATGGGCTTCTGCGGAGCAGCTTCTGCATCACTCTGGTGCATTTCACATCCACAACCTATAGACACAAGTGTTTGCATATAAGTATGTAGAAGTGTGTATAATGCGTATGCATACAAGCTTGATTTTCAGGGCGGGGGTGGGTGAACGTATGGCTTGTCGCTTTTGGGAGGGTTTTTGGGGGGAACGTGAAGCAGGGGGGCAGGAGGATTTGAAATTATTTAGGGAAAATTGCACCATTAGTCTTACAGCGATCGCCTTGGTACCTAAATCGATCCCAATCTCTGAAAAGGTACAATTTTGTCATCAACCTTGCATTTTAGTCCAAGCTAAAAGATGGATATTGCTGCATTCACAGTTCAATTAAGTTACTTGTACATTTTTGTTGACATCCTCTCTACGTGTCAACTATATGGCCAATGATGTAAAAGTATGTTGTAAAAATCAATGACCATAATGGATTACATGTCAAAGGATGTCAAGTTTAATATAAAAGTTTATATACATGCAGTGTGATTGTTCTCCATTTGAACTAGTTTTCATCATTGGAGAGCTTTTGTACAATTATTGTTCTTTTGCCTAAGATGTAAACCACATGATAGCCAACTAAGCAAAAGTTGACGCAAGGCCAACGCTTCACTTTTCATCACTTTGTACTTGCGCTTTCCAAGACAATTAGGCCATGCCTTTGGACATCTGCCAATAATTTTACTGTCTCAAATGAGGGTACCAACTCTGTGTTGTAGCATATATTCGAGGAGAGGGACATTGCCATGTTACTCATATTGGCCAAGTTTTACACAGTACACTTAATTGATTGATTGGCAAATTTGTAGAAACAGTGCCCCGAAACATATGAGCTTGTAGACGTAGAATGAGACCCTTGAAACTAAACATCTATGAAGGCACTACCAATAAAGCTTTGGAATATAGAAATTATTTTTTTGTGCTTTTAATTAAGGCAAAGTACATTCTGCCATGTAAAAGTAGGACATATGAGTTTCCATTATTAGTTTAAACAAGGCGAAGAACACTCTACCATGTATTGTAGAAACAGTGCCCCGAAACATATGAGCTTGTAGACGTAGAATGAGACCCTTGAAACTAAACATCTATGAAGGCACTACCATTAAAGCTTTGGAATATAGAAATTATTTTTTTGTGCTTTTAATTAAGGCAAAGTACATTCTGCCATGTAAAAGTAGGACATATGAGTTTCCATTATTAGTTTAAACAAGGCGAAGAACACTCTACCATGTTGTATCTAAATATAATCTGTTCGCAAATCTAGTTAGTTTTTTTTTCCTTTGGACCCCCAACATCTACTTGCAAATTGATCTAATCATTGAACATTATTAATAAGTAGGGGAAATTAGTTACTTGATCGGACCAATTGCCAACAAAACTTCTAACTCTATTCATAAGTAGGTCTAATTCGCATAGCGTACAAAAAAGCAGTGCACAAAGCGCTGACGAAACACCATGTCTTGATAGTGAGTGATAAATTAAGCGATCAATTGTCAAGTTGACAATTGAACGCACTCTAGGTGAGCCTAGTTGTGCTTTATTAATATTTTTATTATTTTTTTCTTTTTTCAAAAGCCTTATTGAATTTAGTTCAAATTTTCAAATGACTTTATCTGTACGAAAGTTAAAAATGAAAATACATTAGAAAATTTAAACATATAAATACCCTAACATCACGAGGTACAACCTTCAATTGACGCAGTACAACAAAGAAAGGAAAAAGGCACAGTGTCATCTCCTTCCACTCCCATGCCACTCCGACCCAACACAACAAACTGTTTCTTAAGCGGCATATATTTTTTGGGTTCTCATCTAATTTTTTCCTCGAGGCAGTGTAGGTACATATACAATACATACATCATCAGACATCGTCCAGAAATTAAATGCTGATGTTTATAAATTTTATATTGTTCCTATTTCTTAGGGACCAATGGAAGAAGATGATATTTCAACGACATTTAAATCCAATGCTAGTCGAATAAAAAGAGATTTCAGAGATGTTGAATGGAAAATCTCAATTTTGGCCCATCCTAAAAATCTTAATAATGTGAAAGCATATTATGTGATAAGGTAACTAGGGGGAATGGGGTTGTTTAGGAATTTACTAGCATAAAATCCACGTAGCAAGAATCAAGAGAAGAGGAGTGGTATCATGTCATAGAGCAAGTGAAGAACAAAAAGTCAAGTATGTTGAGACGATTAGAGGGAACAAGTATAAAAAAATAGAAAAGCTAGTTAATGATGCTAAGTTGAGGGAAGATATAGGTATATCTTTGCCTACAATAGATGAGGGACTAGAAGATGAAGATGATGAAATTTCTATTATTGAAAGAATGACTAGGAAAAGGCCTATTAATGTGGGATCTATAGATCAATTTGCAAGGTCTATCAGTGTAAATAATGTTTCTATGAGTGCAAGTAAGAAATTGAGACAACAAAATGTGAATGATGCAATTTCTAAGAAAAAATTATTAGAGGTTCATTGATATTTGGCAAGATGGTTTATGAAACCGAAATTCCTTTTAATGCCATTACAAACAATAGTTTTAAACTATTTATGGAAGCTCTTGGTTAGTATGACCCGAGTTACACTCCTCATTTCCAATACCAAGTAAGGGACCACTTTTGAAGAGAAAGAGGAGAGGAAATAAGAAACTCTAAAAAGGCAAGAAGAGTTGAAAAATAATGGGTTCTCAATTAGAGACGGATCGGGGAGGGGGGGGGGGGGGGGGGGGGGGGGGGGGGGGGGGCTGGACCGGGCTACAGTCCCAGCCCAAGTCCAAGTTATTTGTGGGAATTTTTTATTTTTTAATTAAAGTAGCCCAGTTAAATATTAAGTCAGCCCGGTTTGCTTCCAGTCCACTCCAACCAAACTGCCAAAGTCCAAACTCAATTCTTTATATATTCTTTGCAGCCCACCAGCCCAATAAATGCCAAAGTCCAAACTCCACCAATTTTTTAAAACCCTCATATAATCATATTGGCTGAAAATTGAAATTGAAAATCTCTCTTCTTCGGTCTTTCTCATTCTACGGGTCCCGCCGTGAAGCATCAGGCTTGTCTCTTTTCTCTTTCACTCTTTGTCTTTATATATAATTTTCTTCTTTTCATTATTTTATTTTCAATTTTTTCACTATATCATTATATGTTAAGGTTTAAGTTGGCAGTGACTTTAGGGCTAAGAAATTGAAATTGGAGAGTGGAGGGTTTTTTTTCATTTGTGAATTAATTTTAAATTCTTTGAATGAAACATTTTGCTATATAGTATATATTAATTTTATTGGTTGTATTTATAGAGAGTTAAATTTTTATGTTTTATGTATAATCTTTAGAAAAAAATAATTTATTCTTTAATTTTTTTTCTCAGTTTACTCTGCCTGTCTGCCAATGCCCAATGGGGAATTTTCAAATTTATAAGCATGTTGATTGATGGTTGTAAGTTGTAACAGGTTGTTTATGTATGGAATGAAAAATTGTGTTGTTTTTCCCCCTTATTTTGGTGGGTGGGTTGTCAAACAAGAATAAACATGTGCTTAGCAAAAAGGAAGATTTATGGGTGAAATTCAAGAACCATGCCCGGATTTAATCAAGAAGACAGATCACTAACTAATTTGCACTACTATTAAAAGAATGTTTACTGCATTGGTTATACAACTAACTTAGTTAATTATAATTAATTATTCTATTAAGATCTCCAAGAAATTTAATTAACTAACTTAACAAATAAATTATTCAGGTTGAACAATCTAAAATTTGATCAAGTAAAAGTGGACCCGTGTGAAGATTTTGCTTTATATTATTGTTGCCTTATCTCATTCTTTTTGTCTCCTATTTTCAGCACTTACAAATGGAAGATCAACATTCATCGAAGAGAGTAAAGACACTATTTTCATTCTTTAAAAAGACCGGCGGTCAATCTAGTGAAAGTATATCTCCGAAAATTGAACACCCCTCAGCCTCAACTCCCATGCAACATCCTCCAAATCCTGCTCCAGAAATTCAACATTCGTCAGTCTCAACTCCAGAATTGCAATCATGTACTAGTATTGAATGGGATCTGGGAAAAAGAAAGCAAATGTTTGAACATCCTGCCAATCTACGAGATGAGATTAGAATTGCATATATAAAAGTTGGACCTTATCAGTTGAAGCTTGAGGAGTATCCAAGGGTAGAAGGAAAAAAACAAGCTCGTCGCTTTCAGAAAAAATGGTTCACAGGATTTCCATGGTTGGAGTATTCTTCTATAATTGAAAAGGCATATTGCTTTTACTGTTTTCTTTTTCAGAAAGAGGGTAATTCTTCTGCCTGTTCAGGATTGGTTACTGAAGGATATAATAAATGGAAGAGGGTGAAAGATGGAAATAAATGTGCATTTCTTGTTCATGCTAATTCAGCATATCATAAACCGTGTGAGACTAGAGCTAAAGATTTAATCAAACCGTCTCAGCATATTGACAAGGTAATGAATACTGTATTGAAAGAGGAAATTCAAACACGTCGTTTGCATATAATAACTTCAATTAAAAGTGTTCGATGGCTAGCATTTCAAGGTTTAGGGTTTAGAGGTAATGATGAACTCCATTTTTACGTAATCATGGGAATTTTATACAACTTAAAAAGTACACAGCAGATTTGAATCCAGATGTTAGTAAAGTTGTTTTGGAAAATGCACCACAAAATGCCCAATACATTGCTCCAACCTTTCAAAAAGAAATTTTGCATATTATGGCCAATAGAGTACGACATATGATTCGACAGGAAGTTGGGGATGAATGCTTTTGCATTCTTGTTGATGAAGCACAAGATGCATCTAATCGAGAGCAGATGACCATTATCTTGAGGTTTGTGAATAGTCACGGTAGTTCGATAGAATGTTACTTTGCAATCCAAAGAGTTAGTGATATTACTTCATTGAATCTCAAAAATGAAATATGTGATGTTCTTGCTCAATATGAACTTCGGGTAAACAAAATGAGAGGACAAGGGTATGATAGCGCTAGTAACATGCGAGGTGCTTTGAATGGACTTCAAGCATTGTTTCATAGAGATTGTCCATGTGCATACTATGTCCATTGTTTTGCTCATCGATTACAGCTAACATTGGTCGCGGCAGCTAAAGAAGTCCATGTCATTTGGAACTTTTTTTCTCATTTGGACAAGATTGTTAATGTTATTACTTCTTCTCCTAAACGAGTTACTGAGTTGCAATTTTCTCATAGAGAGAAAATTCAATGTATGTTGGATACCGGGGAGCGTGAATCTGGAAGTGGGGCTAATCAAATGGTTAATCTGCAATGATCGGAAGTCACTCGTTGGAGCTCACATTACAACTCTATAAAGAGCTTAATAGATATGTATGATGCAACCCGCAAAGTGCTTCAATACATTTGTGGTCGTTGTTCAAATGGTAGATCTCAAGCTGATGCTCGTGGTGCTTGCAAAAAGTTGGTGAGTTTTAAGTTCATATTTATCTTGCATTTGATGCATAGAATAATGAGAATCAGTGATGTTCTTTGTCAAGCCTTTCAAAGAAGATCTCAAGACATCTTGACTGCTTTAAGGTTTGTGTCTACTACTAAACAATTGCTTCAAAAATTGAGAGATGACAATTGGGAAGAATTTCTTCAAGAAGTAAAATCCTTTTGCTCAAAGAACAATATTACAATACCCGATCTAGAAGGTTTGTATAACACTGGCCGTTCTAGTGATGAAACTACAATTGAGCATTATTATCACTATGATGTTTTTAATGAGGCAATAGATTTTGTAATCATGGATTTAAATACAAGATTTAACGACATATTAGTAGAACTCCTTTCTTTCAGTGCAGCTTTGGATCCTAAAGATTCATTTAGATCATTTGACATTCCAAAAATCTGCACACTTGCAGAGAAATTTTACCCTCAAGATTTTTCGAAGGAAGATATTATTACATTGGAATATGAGTTGCCACATTATGAGTTAGATATGAAGGGTGAGTCTCGATTTCAAGTATCTACACTTTCTGAGTTATTCAAACAGTTGATTGAGAGTGGAAGGTCAGAGATTTACATTATGATGATTAGATTGATTCGTCTGGTATTGACATTACCCGTTTCTATCGCAAGTACTGAGCGAGCATTTTCAGCGATGAAACATGTGAAGACAACACTTCGCAACAAAATGGGGGATGATTTTCTTGCTGATTGTATGATACTTTTTATAGAAAGAGAACTTGTTGAGAAAATAGATTTAGATTCTATTATAGATGAGTATTATGTTTCAAATCCTCGTCGGGAATGACTTAAATAAATAATGTTATTCAACGAGTTTTTTTAGTACGTATAAATTTTATTATATTCACTTAAGCAGCCCCCCTGAAAAATCTCGAATCCGTCCCTGTTCTTAATCATGATCGTTGCTTGGAGTGATAGAAAAAGAAGAAACATCATTAATTTGTGTGTGAATTGTTAATTCGAGACCACATTTATTTCATCAAACGAAGCTTCAAATGATGCTCATATCGGTCAATATACATTTGACGATGTCAATGAATATATTAAAAATGTTTGGGCTGAAAATGTTGCTCAAATTGTAACCAACAATGCGTTCCATAGTATGAACGCAAAGAGATTGTTGGAATTAAAAAGCTCTAACATTTTTTGGACATCATATGCCAATTACACTTTAAGCCTCATGCTTGAAGGAATCTCTAAAATTCCTAAATTTAAGGGAATGATTAACAAGGCAAAATCCTTCATTAATTTCTTCTTTGTACATACAAGAATTTGGCATTAATGACAAAGTTAACAAGAGAAGAGATAGTTAGGTCTGGAGTCACTAGATTAGCAATATCTATCTTAATATTGCAAAGTTTGCTTGATAAAAAAATAAGAGTTGAAAAATATGATGACTAGCAAATGAATGACATAACACGAAATGGTCTAGGAGTAAAAATGGAAAAGAAGCATTTGATAGTGTTGTTATGAATTATTAGAGTTGTGTTTGAGTTTATTGACTCCATTATTGAAAGTTCTTAGACTTGTTGACGGAGAAGAAAAGCCTTCAATCAGCTTTGTTTATGGAAAGCTACTAAAGGAAAATGATGACATTTAAAAAGACATTGAGATGGAGTATACTATAGGCCAATATTAAATATTATTGATGCTAAAAGCAATGGTCGCCTTGATGGTCCACTTTATACAATTGCTTACTTTTGAATCCATTCTATTTTTTCAAGAATCTACAGTGTTAAAGATGATCAATTGATAACAAATAATTTGATTGCCTATGTGGAGAAACTTTTTTCTAATAATCAAATGCAAAATCATGTGATAAATATCTAGTTGCAAAGTTATGTTAAAAAAGAAGCCTCATTTGGAAAAAAGATAACAATAAGTGGATGTGATGACAATGATTCAAATTAGGCCTGACATTAACTGGACCCAAAATTTTCAAGTATTTGGTGAGTGAAATCGTCGGGTCCAAATTTAATTATGGAACCCGTTGAGTTTGGTTCCATTCAGTCCCTAGGTTATGTACTATAATTAATTTTTCTAATATTTATAAAACTATATTAATTCAACTAATGACGTTTAATTTTAGCTCTTACAAAATAACGTAGTCTAATCTTATGTATCTTTTGCTTTCTCTTTACTGAGTTATTAATAGATTTGATTGTTAAAATCACAGGAAGAGGAAGATAACAAGCTTACAATAATTAAGAGAGGCATTGCCGAGCTTTAATTTGATTTCTCCAGAACAATAGAAACTGCACTAAGTTAAAATAATACATTTGGATAAAACTTAGATCAATTTGATTAAGTTGGGATTGGATTGAAAATTAGAAATAGAAAAAAAAAATCATATTTTTAGGTTTAAGTTAAATTAACTAGTTATTAAATTTATTTTTAAAAAATAAAATAATTTAACTTAAATAAAACAAAAAAATCAAGAAAAATTAAGGCGATTTGATTCTTAATCGGTTCTTCAGTTTTTGTAATAGACTCGTATCTTTCACATGTGTTCTTTGGTTTTCATTACCACTCATGCCTACATCATCTTCCAAGGTAACCTCATGGGATGCCACACCTATAAATGTTCTAGTAATAGACCTCTTTGTACACTTTTTGGGTGAATCATTAAGTGGGCAATAATTTTCAGGAGACTCTTTACTCATATTCATATTGCAGAAAGACCTAGAAGGACATTCCAAAGAGTCAAAATGTTGTTGAAGTGTCGGATAATTTAAGTTGTCCACTTGTAGTTTGTCATACGGATCTCTTTTTATGTGTAGCATTTGAATGATCAACAACCTTCTTTCTGGTATTCATCATGACGTCCAACCTATTCATGAAAATACGAAAACCACGATTAGCATTCTATGTCAAAAGTTCAGAAAAATAATATATAAAATGAATAAACAAGACTTACCATTGCAAATCAACAAAAAAAATGCAAATAAAAATAAAAGATTAAAACTTTGTTGAAGTGTCGGATAATTTAAGTTGTCCACTTGTAGTTTTTCATGCAGATCTCTTTTTATGTATAGCATTTGAATGATCAATAACCTTCTTTCTGGTATTCATCATGATGTCCAACCTATTCACGAAAATATGAAAACCACGATTAGCATTCTATGTCAAAAGTTCAGAAAAACAATATATAAAATGAATAAACAAGACTTACCATTGCAAATCAACAAAAAAATGCAAATAAAAATAAAAGATTAAAATTAAAAAGCTTGAAGGATGAATAAACACAAATAAAACTAACAACAAAATAATAAACTTTTACTAATCTAGAACAACGACAACCACATAAGTAATAATACATTTTATAAAAAAAAAAAAAAAAATTGATTACTAAAGAATTAACATAACATGATTCATTTATAAACTAAAAGTATCAATAATCTAATTAAGGTACCCTCACAATCTCCTCTTACATAGCTAACTTGCTCGTTCACATTATTAATGTTCAATGAAGTAGTATTTTCAACATTGACTTCCTCATTCTCATCATACATTTCTAGATCATGAAAACCTCAAGGTGGTGCTTTTAAAACTACGTACCAATTAGAAGAATAATTTCCTCTTGAATAAAAAACTTGTTTGGCTTGTGAAGCTAAAATAAATTAACAAGAGTAAAGCAATTATTCACTTCAGCACCATTGCCAACATTTGTCCAGTCACTCTTAAATAGTGGAATCTTCATTATGTCATAATCTAATGAAATTATTTCTTTAATGACTCCATAAAATGCAACAACATTAGAAACTTGTGCATTATTCTTTGCACTAGCTTGACACATGGTTGTCGCTACAATTGATACATCGCTATTTTGTGTAGATTTCAACATCTTTTATGTGGAAACTATTGCCCTCTGCTAATATATCAAGTGTAGGAGACTGCTTGTATTTTAGGACCATGTGCAAGCATCATTGGCAGATCCAACACCTGACGAGCCCCCGCGGCCGCATGTGCTGGATCCGCCGGGAGCCCCTTTTTTGTTTGAGAATAGATAAAGGTTCAGAATATATTTCTGGTAATTCGTTGTTATTCTATCCATTCCTTCTGGCCGATTTGGTTACCGCTTGGATAGTTATTTTGGGAGTCCTGGGTTCGAATCTTTTGCCACTCAATTTATTGTATAACATATTTAGCTATACAATTTTACCAAAAATTCTTGTAATAAGGATTGCACCAAAGAAGAATCGAACCTTGGCTACTCTTGGAAATGTTGAATGCTGGACCACTATGACAACAACCATGTTGTGCTGTTAAATTTAACAAAACAATATATGTAAGATTTAGGGATTTTGATGCAATTGGAAAAAATCGAAATCGTGCTTATCCTTTGAATTATGCAAAGCAACAATGTCATTTGGTGAGTACGATTTATTCATATAATAGAATTATATATGTTCAACTTCAGCAAAATAATTATTTTATTTAAAATTTAAGCTTTGTTTGATTTCCATTTATTTCATAATACATTTTTCTTGCTCTTATTTTCGATCAAACATTCGCTAATAAAATAATATTACATACAAATTCAATTTTTTTTAGCTACACATTTTCCATTAAATCACTATTCCAAAATGTATTTTTTGTAAAAAAAAAAAAAAAAGGACATCAAACGAGCTCTTAATATTTTATGGCGGTCGACAACCGCCCGTATTGACTCAACATCCTGGATTCGCCACTGGCAAGCATTCTAGAACATCTGACTAATTACTCATGGTAGAACCTATTTTAATGTGCAAAAAATGTAAGACATGTATCAGTTATATTAATATTCAAAATATACATTATAAAAATTATCAAGATTCTGTACAACATTCCCCTTTAACTAAACTAAAAAAAATTTGTGTACATTTTTCAAGACTTCTATTGTTTTGCTTTAGCTTCTCTTTATGCATTTTGAAAATGTGGAATGTATGTTCTACCACCTCGGTCATCCAGATGTAAACCCTTCCTAGTTCCCATTTCTTGTAAATCCTTATGAGCATTTAATCCATCTCTTGTTTCACCATTTATGTCTAACAATGTACCGAGGTTGCTTTCACATTCATTTTTCTCAGTGTGTATTGTATCCAATATATGATGTAACAATAGCACCTAATAATGTAACAAAGCATAAAGATTTTGTTAGTTTAGTACAAAAAAATTCAAATAATTGAAAGAATTTGAATAAGAGTCGCAAAATTTTACCTCCCAATAGGGTAAGTTAAAAAAGATTGATCTCCTTTTCCATGTTAACATACTCTCTTCATCTGTCTTTCCTTTTAATTTTTGAGCTTTCCCAAAATTATTGACATAATCTTTAAGAGTAACCAAAATGTTGTTACCGGACATGATTTTAGGTTTGCTTCCCTTTTCTTCACGTCCATCAAACAAGGATTTCTTTTTCCTAAATGGATGAGATGGTGGCAAAAATCTCCTATGACCCATGTATGAAGATTTTCTACTTAATTTTAACCACTGTGATTTAGAATTCTTTGAACATACGGGACAATCTTCATTGCCCTTACCTTTACATCTAGCTAAATTTCCATGAGCAGGTAAATCATCAATAGTCCACATTAGTATTGTTCTCAAATTGAAGATGCATTAGTGTGTGCATCATACACATTCTCTCCAATATTCCATAATTCGTTTGAGTCATCTATAATTGGTTGCAAATATATATCAATATCATTCCCGAGCTATTTAGGCCCTGGAATTAACAATGACAACATGGCAACATCATTGACAGACAACTATAGGTAGAGCTAAAATTGATTGAAACCATCCGTAGCA